TTCAGTGCCGGCCACGAGTTCCAAGACCAGATGTGCCTCCAGGAGCCTCCCAGGCCACACCCTCGAGAGGATGCAGGAACAGCCAAGTAGGTGCTCCCTGAGTCCTGCGACTCCTGGTCCTCCTTCCGAGCTGGGCCCTGGCTTCTACATCAGGGCACTAGAGGGCCTGGGAGCAGACCTCACTTTACTCCTGCGACTGGAATCCCTCGTGGGCTCGATCCAGGTCCGAAAAGCACCTGCAGCAGTCCGCGCCGCGTCTGATCTCTGCCGGGCCAGGACAGCACTGCACCCTGGGAGGGGACAGGGGCCGCGGGGGCTCACCCAGGCCGGGTCCACGCGACCACCTGCACCCAGCGGCTTTCTGGAGCTGCGGGTTTGCCTTATGCTGCCGAGGGCACCACAGAGCAGGAGGCTGCAGAGGGGGTCTCTGCAAGCTTCGAGAAAGGCCCTGTGGGGGACGGGGTGGTGGGGGAGGGACCTCATTAACCCCTTACCTCCCGTGCCACTGGAGCCCTGCCCTGTGTCTGCCTCTGGAGTTGAATCCAAGCTGGGCTCCTCCAGGAATTTCATCCTGGAATTTGAGAGGGGGAAAGACAAGGCCGGCTGGGGGGGCAGGGGCGAGCGTTTGGATAAGCGTATATCATGGAGAAGGACAGGAGGAAATCCAAATTATTTTGTAACTTGTTTACATTGGGGGGAGGTCCGAGGCTCGGCGGGCTGGGGGCCTACTCTTCCTGAGGTGCTTCTTCTTGGTCTTGCGGCACACGCCCGGCACGCCGGGCACCGGCTTCACGTCGCTCTTGCTCACGGGCGGCGGGTGCAGGATGGGCTTGGGCGCCCGCGTCAGGCACACGGGCAGCCCCGCGGCGCACAGCAGGATCCCGGTCATGCCTGCGGTGAGGGCGGCTGTCAGGGGGCGTGGCGCCCGGAGCTCCGCCCTGCGCACGAGGGCCCCGCCCCGGGCCCGCCCACGCCATGCCCCCCGCGAGTCCCGCCCACCCCTGCTGTCGCGGGCCAATGGTAGGGGACGCTTCCTCAGGGCCCCTCCCACCAGCTCGTCATGGGTGGAGCCACGGAGCTCAGAGGCGGGGCTGCCTCCTCGCGGGCCCCGCCCTTCCTTCCCGCCCCCGGGCGGGACTCACCTGCCAGGGCCGGGTGCACCGGCCCCGTACCGTTCAAGTTCTTCACCGGGAGCGCAGGGACCCTGTGGGCAGAAAGCAGAGGCCGCGGCTGGACTCAGCCCTCCTTGGCAGACCACGGGTCGCTGGCACACTGACCGCCCGCGGACGCCACTCCCGCCCTGACGTGCGTTAGGCGCAGGGGTGTGGCGGGGCCTGCGCCTCCCGCTAGCCGGGTGCGCCGGGAGACTTGGCACTCCTTCCCCGTCCCGCAACCGGCGCCTCCCTAGTGAGGGCCCCGAGTCGCCCCTACTGCAGACGGGGCTACCCTAGCTCTCTCAGACGCTGTCTTCCCTGCGGTCCGCAGCACTGAACCCCATACGGTCTCCAAGGAGGACCAGGCTGGGAGGCGCCAACGGCAGCCCTGGGCTCGCTGAGGGCTCGCCCGGGACGTACGTGGGCGGTGTGCAATCTGGGTTTTCTAGGTACTCGCCTTTTGCTTCCTTGTGGTCCCCGAGACGAAGGTGTTGTCCCCTCCCCTCCGCGGCCCTGCAGCAAATCCTGCGGGACGCGACCCTACCCTCCACTGTTTGCCGTGAGGGTCCGTGAAATCCTGCACCTGGCAAGGCCCAAGCACAGGCCCGGAAGCTTCAACCATCATCATCCTCACAGTTAACCTTCCTCACGGGGAACCTCCCCAGCGAAGCCTTGAGCAGACAGCTAGCCTCTTCCTGCTCGGTCCCCTCCTCTAATGTGGGGCTAGCGCTCCTCACCTAGGGCTCCGGGAAGGGCATTCCAAGGAATACATTACACATACCTGTACAGAGAGACATGCAAATCCCTCCAACACGTGACAGAAACAGGCACTCGCATACAAGTGCAGACACTCCAACACTGGAGGAACACACCACACACACTCCAGGGAACCCCCCCCCCCCGACACACACAGAGAAAATGCCACAACCAGAGATAGATACACTGAAACACAGCGGGACACTCAGCTGGACGAAAGGCTGGCCCCAGGCACACGGCGCTGTGGGTGAGCAGATGCAACTCTGGGGGACAGGCCCTCAGCACGAGCACCCAGCACCCCGAGGCCCACAAAGCGACCCGCCTTCTGCACACGGGGACGCCTGGACACGCTGCATCCCACTGCATGCGGGGACACGTTCGCACACACTGACTCATGCCACACAGAGGAACCCGTGTGCACAGGAACCCAGCCACCCCAGACACTGAGGCACAGACACTGGGCCCAGGAGACCCACACTTTGCACACGTGCACTGCACACAACATGTGCACTGCACACAGCCCCTCCACTCCGGCTGCTCACACCAGACGGGCCAGGGAACCTTCAGACACCTCCAAGGGCTGTCAGGGGGCAGGCTTCGGCGACGAGCCCTGGGAGGAGGTGCTGGGTGGCCCCGAGCCACCTGATCACAGCTCGGAGGGAGGCAGGTGCACTGGGTCCCCTGGGACCTGGGCCATGGACCTGCTGGCTCTCAGTTTTCCCATTTGTGCTGGGGACAGCACATCAAGTTTAGTGGAGAGGAGAGTGCAGGCGCCTTGGCTTTCGGCTTCTGGAAGCCGGGGGCGGGGAGGGCCGAGTGGCATCGGACGCTGCTCGTCATCTCTCACACTCCTCCAAGACCTCCCGGGGGGATCCCCACCTGACTTCATTGCCCCCCAGCCCTCAAGCATCTCTGCTTCTCTGCCTGTCCTTCAAACGCCTCTGGGGTAGACACACTCTGAGGTCCTCGCCTATCTAGGTCTCCCCACCCACTCCTCTTTCTTCTTTTCTGTCTCATGGAACCAAAAGCTTCTTTCCTCTCTGCAGGACCCTCTGTGAAGTGCAAGGCACGCATGCTATTACTCTCTTGTCTGCTACCCGTGGCAGACATCACCAATCCATCACAGCACTCTCTCAGTCTGAGCAGACTCCTCCACACAGCTCTCCAGGCAGCCTCTATCCGCCAGGGAAGCCAGTTTGCTTCGCTTGGTCTATATGCATCCTAGATCTGGTCCAGCTGATGCCCTTGGTCTTGCTGAGCCTTTAGCCTGGGGTTTATTTAGGCAGAGGCACCCAGGGAAGCAGGGTTTCAGATCTCAGCTGCCTAAGGTTCCAGGCACTTAAAAACCACAGAGCCCTGGGTTACCAAAGTCAGCAGTAGGAGGGCTGTGAGTGGGGCGTGATGGAGGCACTGTTCTCTGTTTGCCCACCGGCAAGCAGGGGGCCAGCCCCGAGGGACAGGCTCCTGCGAGAAGCCGGGGGAGCAGGGTTCCCACGGCGCTGAGCGTGGGAACCACCCGGGGCCCCTTTTGATGTGGGCTGGACTGCTTCCTCTGAGTGGCTGAGAACATCCTCCTGCCCCGGACTAAGCCTGCTGCCCATGGGGCAGCCTTCGCCCCTCCCCCTGCCTTCTTGGGGCCCCTTGGAAAGCAGGTCTGGCTCGCCCCAGGCAGGGACGGGTCCCGCTGCCAGGCTGGTCTCCCTGCTGCCTTGCCTAACCTTGTGTCTGAGCCCGTCTGTCCTCTGCTCTCAGGGCCCCTGCCACGCCCACCTTACTCTGACCTCCCAGCCTGGCCTCTGCCTCCCCGCTGAACCTCGTTTCTTGTGTACTCACCCCTGGCCCACTCCCCTCCATCCACCCTGGTGTCCCTGCTGTTCCTCCCCACGCCAGGCACACTTGCACCCCAGGGCCTTTGCACTTGCGAATCCCCTTCCCGCTCCCTCACTTAACAGAGATCTGGGCTCAAACTTCCCACCACTTCACTTTATAGACACCCCTGTCTTTGTCCTTATCTCACTGAACTTTTCAAATAGCATTAGAATGTCTCCAAGCAAGACCAGGCACCGTATGGTCTGGCCTGGCCTCTCCCTCGTCTCCCAGCCCCTTCACACACACCTGTGCCCATAGGCCAGCACAGTCTCCTCTCGCAAAGGCTCCCTTCGCCCTCGCCCCGTCCAGATCCTGAGTGATGGCTCGCTCAGGCCCCTGCAGACACGCCACCTCGCTAGAGAGACCCTCCTTGCCTGCCCGGCTTCAACACCAGGACCTGGCAGCCAGCAGGTGTTCAGCAAAAACCTGCTGTAGGGAGGGAGGAGGGAGGGAGGACGGGAGGGAGGAGGGAGGGAGCGAGGGGCGGAGTGGGGATGCTGTGGGCACACGAAGCCCGGAACCCTGCGCGCGGCACACCCTGAAGTGGGCTCGAAGCGAACTCGCTCAGCAGCTCTAGTGCCGGGAGCTCTTTGCCAATGTTGGCTCCAAGGTGAGCGTGCGAAGGGGAGCTCTCAGCTACGCCCCGTCCACCTCAGGGCAGCAGTTCGGGCACAGTTTTGGAGAACACTCCACTAAGGCAAATTCTCAGCGTGGCTGAGAGGCGAAGGCAGGACGCTCTGCCCGAGAAAGGACGGTCTCCCAGGATTCGTCCAGGAAGTGGGACAAGGCTGGTTCACACTTTGCACCTGCCCTGGCTGCACGCTAATGTCCACAGACGGTGCAGGGAGATTGGCTTACTTGCTGTTCCTCACACTGATCCCTGCTCTGTTTTGTCTGAGTGCCTTTGACCACTGTGTCCTGTGTCCCTGGAAGCCCTGTGATGGACAGAGGGGCCACCAGAGCAGGAAGATGTCCCCCATGTAGCCCCGACCCAGCCTGCCCAGGGCGGGGCCAGCTCCAGGGTCCAGGTGCTTCAGCCTCTTGGAGGGCGCAGAGGGCTCCACAGGTTGGCCCCACAGAGCACCCAGCAGGGACAGCCCTGGCCTCAGGGACAGCCCTGGCCTCAGGGACACAGGCTACCAGCTCTCTGCTCACCCTGCCTACTCAACTGACCACACACTCACACTGCCCACACTGACCGTGCACCCACACTGACCGTGCACTCACACCCACCCCTTCAGTACAGGCACGCCTCTCCTGGACTACCTTAAGTGAACTCTTAGCCACGCCCTCTTGTAGTCCCCAAGCCACTGGCTCCAGTATTCTCGAGGAGCCAGGCCTTTCCCGCTTTCTAGTCGTGTGTTTCCACACCTGTCTCTGCCATCAGACTGTGTGCTTCTGGCAGAAGTGGACGGGGGGGAGACCCCGCTCCATGAGCACAGGACAGCACCGTGAGGAATGCATGCCCAGTGAGCAGTGCCAGACAGGACACAGGGCCACCAGCTCTCCGGTTGCCTCAAGGGTGCCTGGTGTCCTGGGAAACAGCAGGCCATCTAAGTCCAAATCATTGCTGCACAGATGAGGTTGGAGCAGGGATGCTAAATCCATGGCATGCACACAATTCCTGCCTAGCTAGTGCCACTGGCAGACATCACCAATCAATCCCAGTTCTCCTCACTAAGCCATGCTACAACCTCAGAATCCCCCTCCGCACGGTGCTCCAGGAAGTCACTACCACTGAAGCAGAGAGGGCGCAGGGAGGACATCTGCTTGTCATTTATTTTGCAGGCAATGGCAGATGACGGTGTCCAGAGAGGGGAAGTGACTTCACAGAGGTCACCCAGCTGGGTAGTGGAGCAGCCGGCAATGACCGGGTCCTGGAATTTCTGAGTCAGAGGCCAGGGCTGTCCCTGCTGGGTGCTCTGTGGGGCCAACCTGTGGAGCCCTCTGTGCCCTCCAAGAGGCTGAAGCACCTGGACCCTGGAGCTGGCCCCGCCCTGGGCAGGCTGGGTCGGGGCTACATGGGGGACATCTTCCTGCTCAGGTGGCCCCTCTGTCCATCACAGGGCTTCCAGGGACACAGGAAGCCACCTGGTGCACCCCTCAGGCCAGCAGAGCCCCCGCCCCTGTCTGCTTCTGGCCTCCCTGTTCCTCTCCTGACCCCCACTTGTCACCACCTCTGATGACAGCTTCCAGGTTCCTGGACTGGCCTCCAACCCCCTCAGGATACCCGGCACTGAGCCAGCAGCTCCCTGGGCAGCTCAGACAGCTACTGGGAACAAGTTGGTGACGAGGGGCAGACGGTGGAAGAAGGGGAAGGGTGCTCTGGGGGCTCCACGCCCCCCTCTGCTCCTCCTAGAAGCTCCTGCCACTTGCGCCCCTCCCCTAGTGCCAGGGCACCCAGCCTGGGCCCAGCCCCCTGCGT